TACCAACAGAGCTCCCATACTGACTCCACTAACATGGGTTGGTTATGCAGGACAGGCAGGTAAAGTCACTCCTGGACTCTGAAGCCTCTCTGTTACACAAGAGTTAAAAGGAAGAGATGGCTGTGGCTTGACACCCACTTGTGAAAAGCTTGTATTCAGGAGATTAACTATTTGGCTTAAGTGATGACTCTCATCATGTGCTGCAAAATTAAGTTACATAAGAGAAATTGTGTCAAGAGTTTTACAGCAAGATCTAACTTCATAAGATCAAAAAGACATAACATGAATAAATTCAAATGCTGTCTTGGTAATCTCTGAAGGTTAGATTAATTTACTCGCCAAAACTTGCAGGTGACTATATGCATTTATACTAAATGTGGCTTTTCAGCAATTATTATAATGATTCTTCTAGATGTTTTCACCGCAGGATTCTGCAAATGTGTTTTTCATTTTTTGATAGTAAGCACCATTTTTCCACCTAAGAGCAAAACCCTAATTCAAGTACCTCTCCAACACATTTCCAGCAGTTCTTACTTATTAAGCAATTTATCTCAGTCATCATCAATAGCTATCTAGGCTATAAAACCATAAAGTAATAATTATCCAAAAGCAACCAAGTATCATAGAATCATAGAATTTAGGGGTTGGAATAGACCTTACAGTTCCAAGCCCTCCTGCCATGGGCAGGGACACCTCCTCACTAGATCAGGTTGCTCAAGGATCATCCAGCCTGGCCTTGAACACTGCCAGGGTTGAGGCAGCCACCACTTCCCTGGGCAACCTGTGCCAGTGTCTCACCACCCGTAGAGCTAAAAACTTTTTTCTCACATCCATCCTAGACTTTCCCTCCTTCAGTTTGAACCCATTACCCCTTGTCCTATCATTGCAGCTCCTAACACCTCTCTGGCTCCTTGTAGGCCCTTCAGATACGGAAAAGTTGCTACCAGGTCTCCACAGAGTCTTCTCCAGGCTGAACAGCCCCAACTTCCTCAGCCTGTCCTTAGAGGGGAGATGCTCCAGTCCTCTTATCAATGTTGTGGCCTCCTCTGGACTCGCTCTAACAGTTCCATGTCCTTCTTATGCTGAGGACACCAGAACTGCACACGGTATTCCAGGTGGGGTCTCAGGAGAGCAGAGGGGAAGAATCACCTCTTTTGATCTGCTGGACACACTCCTTTGGATGCAGCCCAGTAGTTCTCACCTACCTTGAAATATATACTCACAATATAATTAATACCATTTTCCCCAGATTTTCCTTGTTTATCTAAGCCATTTATAACCAAATATATACTGTCTTCTGTCCTAGGAAAAAGCAAGGTTTTTTGTAAGTTAGTCAGAGCCATGTTCTCTGAGTTACTCTGATGTTGGTGTCAGTATTGCTTAATAAGAATTCATGGTTAAGGAAAAATGAAAGATAAAAATCTGCATTTCAACACAGGTTCCTTACTACCACAGGTGATTTGCCTCGTCACACAAAGCCCAATTATAATTAGGGCACACTAATTGCTGTGCAGCAGCATCAGTAGATCTCCGAAGCGATGTGACGCAGTGGCATTTGCAAAGGTGGGAGGGTACAACAACCTGAGTCAGTGCAGGGGCACAGGGAAAAAAGATTTTCTTGATCAAGTTTTCTAGCTACTCAGTAAAATCTAACACATGTAAACCATGCAAAAAAATGGCAAGAGGGAGAGTATTCAGCCTGACATTTCACATAAACACAGTAATCAATAGCCTGTGTTAACCTCCTACCCACATATAATTCAATCCCAAACACTCATTGTATTTAAATTTTGATAGTTTCAATAAAAACAAACACAAAAGCTAATTTCAAGCCCCACATCTTCTGTTAACAACAGTTCTTTGAAAATTTTGACAAACTATGTGTCCTGTAGCTTCAGAATGCACTTACAGCTAACAAACCCCATTGGACCACCAAAACGAACCAGGCAGTGGTAAAAGAAACATTTAAATACTCTAATTAAAAAAACAAACAAACCAAAACAAAAACCCCAACACCACCAAACCCCAAAAGCCCAAGAGAAGAATCCCTCACCCAAGCTATAATAATTTTAAAGCTTTTTACATTTCAGGCAGTGAGAAAAAGCTACACATGTAACAAAAACATTTTCCCCTCACTTTAGCCTCCTGTTTCCAAAGGAGACATGCACTTTCCATGCTTTCCAAACAACAAACTTCCAGGACACATTTTTGAAAACCCTTGTAAATCTCCCCTGTATCCAGAGCAGCAAACAGTTCTGCTGTTGCTGAAGAAAGATTTCACACAGAAGCCACTAGAAGGAAGTTAGTGAATACTGTTATTTGAATACATTGCAGAGCTCTTCATCCCAGGTACCTCTTCTATAAAAATCAACTCCCAAGGCATTCTTGTCCTGCTGCTAACCTCCTTTCCAAAGCTCCTGTGCTTCCACTCCATTTATTTGCATCCTTCATTTCTAATCTCTTTAAACACTCAGCCCAGTATCAGTGTCCATGGAATTTCTTCTCTGTTTCTTTAAGATACTGAAAATCAAAGTAGTTTGAAAAAAAATCATCCTAATTCAAGCTGTCAGAATTTGATGACTATGCTAATTATTTTTCACATTTAGTCTGAATAGAACTCTGATTATAGTGTTTTTTAAAAAAACTCTAAACCTACAGAGCAGTTATTTTGTCATCTCACTAACAGACTTTTAACCTTTTCATGTCCCCAAGTCATTACAACTTGAATTGCTCTACAGCTACAACTTTTGTAACGTTGATGAAAACGTTGCAGTAAGGGACGTATATAAAAATATATAAATACACCTTTTAAAAGTTAACAAGCTTTAACATTAAGTATTTGTGCTGTCTGCTTCATATTACTTGGACAATGTGTTTGCTCTCCATTTCAGTTTAGAAGGTTCTGCTTGTGACCTACTTCCTGGCTTTTCTCAGCTCACATACCGTGTTTACACCCCAAACCATTTCCTTGCTAGGATTCAGCTTGGTAACAGCTGAAGTAAAATTTGGCCAATCTCTTTCCCAGACAGGACTTTGTTGAGCCACATGCCAAGCTCTGCAGCCTGTTAGTTGGATCCAGCTGATCCAAACACCTTCTCTCACGTGACTCAGGTCAAGGTTAGGTAACCAACCATCTGCTTAAGCAAGTCACCATAAGGCAGTTTGCAGCCTTAACCAAATAAGCTATTTCAGGTGAGATACACTTGGGCTAAAACCCTCCCTTCAATTTCTCTTGAAAAGCACAGAAAACCCTCCCTGAAAGTTTCCAGAATGGGAGCTAGGAACAAACCTGTCAGGATTACCAGTCCACATCTGTCCTGAAAAATCCCCATATGGATGAACTACCTGAAACACTAAACTCTTCACAAAGGCACAAAAAGGCAAAAGAAAACATCTGGGCTGAATTCCTCATGAATTTCTAGCCATCATCTATTTCTAAAACCAAATTCTATCAGAAAAAAATAGCAAAATTATGTATTTTAGAGAATTAACACACTTTTAATTTCTACAAACAATAGATTTTATTTTCCAACACTCACATTAAATTAATAACAGCTTAGTTACAAAGCAAAAAGCACCAGAAAGGAGCCTTCTGTTATCCGTTTTTTTGCATGTAAGAATCAAATACACTGATCAAGGAACAGGTGGGTTACACTTTATTTTAAATATTCATAAAATTACACAGTACAGATTTAAAAAAATAGAAAAGGTAGACACTACATTTCTGTGTATCTGATTTAAAACTTTTACCGTGTTAAAAACTATATTCTGTGTATTCTATAAATCTTAGTGTGCAGAACTGAAGGATAAAAATATCTACACAGAACGTATTAGCAGCTCCACAAAATAAGGAAGTCACATAATTAAGCAGAGTGATTGTAAACCAGCTGTCCTTAAAGCTGTGATACTTCAATTTGAAATGGAGGATCAGTCCAGGAAAAATGGTTTAAACACTTTAAGGTGACTCTCATTGGAACAGTTCTTAACTTTTTAATATAAATGCTGCAAACTGACAGGAACAAAAATGAAAAGATTTCTAACATTATTTGTGATTTTTTTTAAAACAAAGCATTTTCTAGGAGATGAGAGTTTAATTTTCTCTTATGAAAATATAAGATGAACAGAAGCACTGCAAAGTAGCAGCAGATAAATGAGTTAGGATAATGCTTAGTGTTACAAAAAAAAGAAAGCCAAGGTAAAAAATGAAACAGTGAACACCTTTTTGTGTGGGGGGGCAAGTTTAGAATGAGCCCACTCCTCATGAAGGGCACAGGGTACATAAAATCTCCTCAATTTCCACTGAGTTCTCTTCTAAGGAACAAAATTAATGTACATTTTATATAAAGAGGGATCTTTGTGAAAAACAGATGGCTAAAACCAGTTACTGAAACAAATACATACATCTAAACCAGGTAAAATTGATAGGAAGACAGGCATTATATACCAGAACAAACTGACAATGTAGCAGTAGGAAGCCTAAGGTGAAGTCTTGCAGCAGCAGGTTTACATGTACACTCTGAACTATGTCACAACCAAACTTACAGAAATAAGATAATATTTTCAATCTTACATGACATTTTCAAGAGCTAAAATCTCAGGTATAATATACATGTATACAGAAATATTTTAAATTCACTTATTTACAATATTTTATAGGGATAGGCTCTTTATACAACTGTATTTGCATAAGCTTCAGTCAGAGTGAAGCGAAGGAATGATCATATAAATAAAGGTTTGCATCACTTGGGCTTTCCCAAATCAGGTCTATGAATCAAAGTTACAAAATATACATATTTACTGTTCAATATTGCTTTTTACATACAAAAAAATCACGTAAGGAAAATAATTTGTCAAGTGTTAAAACGTGTAAGGTTTGACAGCAGAACCTAAATGCTGCCATATGGTTACAGCCTGGAATTAACTGCATTGGTAACATCACATTACACATCCTGAAAGCAACAAAGCAGGAAACATTTGCATCCATAGTGCTGCATATTCCACTAATACATAAAAATTTCCTGCCTCTTCATAATATCTGTACGACACAGAGGGCATTCATTAAGTACTTGAGCACATTCCTTGCAGGCAACTAGGTGACCACAGGGAATGAAGACAACTGATACATCTTTCCCCATACAGATTTTACAAAGCTTTTCTTCCTGCAAGCGTCTTAACTTCTCTTCAGTACTGAGGTCTAAGGAAAACAAACACACAAAAAAAGTTAACACTTAGTACCACCGAATCAGGTTCTTTTTTTTTGTCTCTACACACAAGGACAAGGGTTTCTTCCTAAGATTTAAAGGTCACATCCTTAAAACGGACAAAAAAAAATGACGAGAGGAAACTTAGCTGCAGCATGGAACCCTCTTTTTTCTTTTTCCCCATCTCATTACATCTCCCAGGCCAATGCAAGCAGGGAGTTCAGCTACCTATATTTGTAAGAGCTTGAAATACCTGTAGAATTTAGGATATGCATATTTCCATCAGGAACTATTCTTCCCACAGACCTCAGTGACATCATTCCCAAAACTTGCACAGAAGGTAAAAGAATGGATCCTTGGTATTGGCTAAGTAATTTGGATTTTTTCCCCCCCTCAGAGTTTCCTCACTGAAAAGAATAAGGATGTGATTTTCTTCCCATTTTCAAAAAGCTTAAAAATATGTAATACAGAAAGAATTAATTTTACATTGTACATGAACTCTCTATTATTGCCACTGGAAAATGCACAGCTCAGACACCTTCCCCTGCCACTGGTGGAAAGCTCTGCACAGCCACCAAAATCATGTCCAGCTGCATTGCAAGTTCTTTATGCCCCATAATGTCCACTAGAAATCTCATTCAAAAGTGGACTGGTAAGATCTCTCCCTGCCATGCCAGCCAGATGGCCTTTGCCCTCCCAGAGTGCACCACAAGGGCTTTCTGAGCATAACCTGCCCTTTGTCTTACTGGCCAAGAAGGCAAATGCTCCTACCCCAAGCAAAATTCTATATTGAGAATAAATAACTCTCTCCTAAGACTTTTTCATATTAAGTACACTGAATATGGCTGTGCCACTGTGTCTATTTCATTTTGCCACCAGAGTTCTCAATTTTTAAATGTAATTGTCACAACAGTTCTGGCTTTTCTCATTAGCATGTATAACCTTTCCCAGAAACACAAGACTATGATTTCAGTATTACACACTTCTGAGGTACTAACACTACTCATTTTATAGATGGTATTTATTAATGTTGCTACACTCAAATATTTTAACACCCTCTTTGTCTAGTTTTGCCTTTCTTTTTTTCAATGTCCAAACATGAATCTCTTGAATTTTAAGTTACAATACTGTAACTTCCCCTTAGGTAAGGTTGGGATCAGAGGGTAGAATAAACAGATAACAATAAAAACTACTTCACAGACTAAAGAGCTGATATGAAAGTACACACAGAGGTTTTGTAATTGAATAAGCTCATCTTGCTCAACTGGGATTTCATTTGGTTCTTCTTCCCTTGTATTTTCTTTCTGAGCACTTAAGTCTGCTACCAGATCCTCAACAGATGTGTGACTTTCTCCAGTCATGTGCAATCTCTTTTCCATGGTGTTCCTAATCTCAGACAAACTGAAACCCATGGCTATGGCACTTTGTACCAAAGGATTCTGTAAGAGATCATCTAAAACAAGAAATTAAAAAAAACAAAACAAAACCAATTTAACAAGGATGTAGCTGATTACTGGACAGGATTCACTACAGTACTCTAAGACACCTTTGCAAATATGTAGCTAAAGGAACCATAGTGCAGATTTGTTTTCTTCTGCCCTAGCTATCCCAGTCCCCCTTCATCTATTTATAATACAGAAATCCTCCTAGATTTGGTGTTCAAATCAACTATTTCAACTTAAATAACACATCTCAGATAACTAACATCACAAAACCCCTAACTGAATGTTAACTGAAACTAATCCTAAATACTAAGGCACAATGGGTAAGTATTTGGTAACATTACACTAAGTTTAATTCAGTTCAGGGAAGAAAAAAAATCATACATGATTAGCTAATATAAAATTTGAATTTACAGAGCCAACACACAGCACCATGAGCAAGCAAGCAAGTCTGGCCATGATAAAACGTAACACTACTTTGGGAAACCATTTTTCAGTCTGTTGGACCTCCTCCTTCCTCTTACTTGTCAAGACTGTTCAAAGAGCAACATTTTTTAACCTAATTTTCACTCTCATAAATGAGCAGTGTGTGAGAGATTTCTGAAATAGGTTTTGTGTAACCTCTCTAATTAGCAAGAGCTCTCATTCCCTGGGATGAAGTTGCTTGAGTGTCCTCCACTACCCCTTTAACTGTCTTGTCCTTTTACTGCTTGGTATTTGTGAAAACATTGCAGGAATGTGTAATAGTGAAACACATAACCAATTACTTCAGCTTTCTCAGCTTCCTAGGCCTTGCCATTGAACAGGCCAACTCTTCCTGCCCCACAAAAAGCAATGGTTGTTTAGTTCAGTGTTCTTTAACATTCATCCCAGTGCTGCTAATCACTTGATGTACACTCAGTAGCTGTGAGACTACATCCTATACACACTTCTTCCATGGTTTACAATCTTTACCAAACCAGGATTGTATTTCCCTAAGAGAAATAAAATTCATTCTGCAGTTCTTCAGAAGCAATAAAGCAATGGATGAACATCATCCAACAATGCACCTGTCATGCTTTATTTAAAACTGTAATAGGGTTGTTTTTGAAATTAACCATTTCCTTCACTATCAATTCATCTATGGATATTCCAAAACTCTATGTAGGGGAGTGGTGGGGTGTTTGTTTTATACAGGTACCTTTAGGAAGTTTTGTTCCTTCAGCAGCTTCTGTCTAAAAGTGAAATACAAACAGGCAAAATTACAATTCTGGAGAAGGTAGAAAGAAACCTACACAGTTACAAAACAGAAAACAGCCATTAGAACTCAGTTATTTGAGTAACAAAAAATATTAAATCCACTCTGAACAACTGCAAAAGGATCAGTATGTTGCTATATATTTTAATTTTAACCCATCTTTGCAATAATCACATGTACGTGATTCTTAGGTTTTTAGTGACTAGACACAAGTTTAACAATGCTCTACCAATAAGAAAAGAAAATTTACCTACTCTTATTCATCACAAACCTTAGCTTCCCAGGCTACAAAACAAATAGCACTTGTTCAGGCCCCAGCACCCAACACATACAAGGTGATGTGATCTACAGCCCAGTCAGGGAGGGCTGGGAGATCTGTACACTCTTACTGACAGCACCAAAACATACTTTGATGTCTTTCTGCCAATGAAAGAAGCAGCAGGAGGAATAAATGATAGGCAGATAATTAAAACAGTAACTTAATATGAAAATTAAGATTTTTCTTTATGTTAACAATAAAAGATTAATAAGCAGGACACTTACTGTTGAATTCCTGAATCCATCTCCTAGGTGAACGTTATTTATAAATTCTATTCCCTTTTCCTTGATCACAAATCTGCACCTAAGATTGAAAATATTTAGCTTTAATAAAACTGCATAAGCAGCACACAAAAGTTTACTGTATAACTTTGGAAAGCTTTGATAAATTTCCTACATCATACAGAATTCTTGCTTTTAGAATTTCTAGATGTTTAGTCAACAGATGTGATGTCATTTAAACATTTTTAAGAACATCATCACTTGAGCAGTACTTATCTTTCTCAAATTTTTGGTGACACAGGAAGCTAAAGAGCTGTTGGTTATGACAGCTCATGCCACAGGTTTATAAAAGTAAAGGCTCCAATTAAAAACAAACATATTAAAATGCTGATTCTTTTAGTCCTTTGCAATTAAAGAAAAGCAGCCACTGGTCAGAGAGGAGCCTCACATGCTTTCTTCCTCTGTTTTCCAGCCAGTTTTAGCCACGGGACAGAGCTCTTCCTTACCAGAAGATTTAGGGAATGCCATAACTCCTTGACAAGAGCTCTGCAGCTCCAGCAGTTACTTCACCTTCAGGGACACAGGCTGACACTGCCACTGAGGCTGATGTGCAAACAAAACCCCCAAATAAGACTGTGAATGAGCTGAGAGGAAGTAATCAAATCTGACATAATTTAAGTAACCTAAATCAAAATCAAACCCATATAAAGAAGAGTGAAATGTTGCAAGAAAATGCATCTTAACCATTCACTGCACCAAGCCAAAAACTTGGAATGACATCTCTTTCAAGTGGCACAGGCTAATAATTAAAAGCTGTCTGTACCACTATTAAAAAAGGCAGCAGCTAATGCCTAAATACTAATTTCCAGCTTCCTGAGAGCCTTTCACCACAGAAGAGAAATTTGGCAGCAAATTCATAAAAGACACTGACTCTATCAATGTTATAAAAGTAGCCAAGTCTTTATACTTGGACAGCTTCTGTCCACCTCTATGAAACACTGAGTCATACTATTCCTCCTTTCCTCTAAACAGACTGAAGACAACATTGACAATCTTTCTTACAACTCCTTCTGGGACAGGAATCCTTAATCCTTCAGGTTTGTTTGCACCATGACAGAAGTTTAGTCATTTTGTATCCTGGCGTAAGTTACAAACCTTGACAAGTATGAAGCTGTTAAAGTAAAAATCTGAATGTAGCACTTGGATAAGGAGGAAAAAGAAAAACAGATACATATTCACAGAACTACACAATTCTTCTTGCTGAGACATCACTTAGTCCACACACAGAAATCTTCTCTTCCCTTCAGTAACTCTTACAAATAAGCCAACATACAAACAACAGGAACTTAAAAGATAAGCAGTTCAGAAGGTACAATTTCAGGGCAATCTTTCAGACTGATCACTTCTAATGAGACAGTTGTACCCTCAGCCTCTTGGGATTTAGTTCTCTTTCCCACCCACTTTAGAAGAATTCTCTCCTGTCTCTCAAAGATGACATTAGGTTAAGATCCTCTTTGAAGCTTCCAATATAACACTGAACATATGCTGATGGTTATACATATAGTGGCAGGACTACAGAAGGTAGAACACACAGAACAACAGAAGTAAAGACTCCATGCAAAAAGACTCCTTAAAATCTTTCCCACTTTTTGAAGAGGAAGAACATAAACCATGGAAGGTAACTGATATTCCTTTGGCATCTGCATGACAAAAATGAAAGAGAAGGAAGTGGAAGAGGGTAACTAAAATAGAATTATTTTCATAAATCTAAAAAGGTTAAGCCATAATCAATTTTCTGAAACCTTTATGAGTATGCTCTGTCATTAAAATGCAAAACACTGTAAATAAGACTCAGACATGCACCAAGAAAACAGTAAAAGATACCTTACCCAGGAAACCATTTAGCATGTTGATCCCATGGGTCTTCATTTTCCTTCCACTCTTGCAAGCCTCCACCACAGTGAAAACACACAACATGATCACCATTACCTGAGGAAACACACGAGAATAATTACATACTTCTAGTAGGTATTGATTCTGTGATTATGAAGAAAAAATATTCATTTTACTGATTCACAATTTCAACTAAAAAGAACTGTTTTAACAGAGGGCAATACACATGATTTGAAACAAACGTTCAGAAGAGAACTGAGCTTAAAAAAAACACAAAATAAGAGTAGCATGAAGTTTCCCTGAATTTTATTTTAGCAAGCAATTATACAGATAAAAAGTGAAAACTAAAAATAATCTGCCATCAAGTAGCTCAATCCAGTGGTAAACAAGCCATGAAGATGTTTGCCACAAAGATTTAAGGATGTTTACATGCCTTTATTTCACCTCCTTTGCCTCCATTTCGCCGTTAAGATCAACAGGTTCTGCGCAGCAGTAGCACAACCAGCTGGGGAGAGCTGCCTTCTCTGCTCTAGCACTGTACCTACTGTAATCCAAGACTGCACCAGAAACTGCTTAGATACTGTGTTTATTGAGATGAGAGGAGGTATGGATAGTTTTCCTAGAGAGTTAAATTATTCTCCGGCCACAGGAAACAGTTTTCACAGAAGTCACCTGAACACTCATCGGTCTGATAAATTGGTGCCCAGTTAATGCACCTCCACAGCACAAATCTGGAGGTACTTTTAGGAATCCAAGAAGAAATCAGTAAAAACAGTTCCACTAGGTACAAATATTGCTCATATATAGCCCATACAGGAATACATCCAAGGTTTTATATATGGACACAAGTAAAACAAAGAGAATCAGATTAAAATGTTCTTCTGAGAGCTACTAAGACAAAAGTCAATTAAGATGAGAGGAAGAAATTATCCTGGATAATTCCTTTTCCTTTGTGACCCAGTAAGAGCTACACTTTACACTCATACAGCATCTCTCAGTGAGGAATTTCAAAAGGTTTAATTGCACTGTGCAATTCCACCTAATTGGGAAACTGACGCACAGAGACGCCGGAGTTTAATCCAAGTCAAACACTACATGTCTAAGAGGAAAAGCTCTTCCAGTGGCAACACTGACTTCATAAAGCTCTTACAGTAGGCACTGGGAGCATTTGCTAGTTTTGGATCTCCACATGCCATGATAATCAAACACAGTAAAATGGACACGATCTGAATTGTCTTGTTCACAGGCTCCTGCACAGGCCACAGGGCCATTCCTTAGGCCTAAGGACTGGAGCACAGCACTTAATTTCTCAAAAAATACTAACTTCAATAATTGTCATTGTGAAAGATGTATTACGAGGGTTTTAGCAGCAAGGAAAACACTTGGTTGTTATACTGCTAAAAATAAATCTGTGACCAAATCTATACTTTGCTATTAAACATACCTGATACGACGTATATCATTTTACACAAGAACTGGGAAAAGCAGTTTACAGAGTAAAAAAATTCTGGCAAATGATTCCAATATAAATTTTTTTTAAAATGCCTTTTATTTTCCCCAATAAGACCCCTTCTCATGCCCAATTCCCGTGTAAAAGACATTAGGCCCTCCGAGGTCTGGCTTACCCACACTGTAGAACCCAGCTTCTGCAAGCTGCTCCTTGTCAACAGGATATATCCAAGATAAAAATGTTTGCAAGCGTCTTCCATATTTTGCCATAGACGGATTCCTTGGGTGCTGTGCATTGCTCAGGCCACTTATCCCAAGTTCTGCAGGAACAGGTTCACTTGGAACATTTCCAACATCCCGGCCCAGGACAAAGATGCATTTGGGAAAATGCCTCTTGTGTTCTGACCAAGCTCTGTCATTGGGTTCCCAGTGCTTCAGTTTCCCACCACAACAAAAACATGCCACTTGATCACCAACACCTGTATAATAAAATCCAGCATTAGCTAATTCCTTTGGTGTCAATTGGTCATTGAGGGGCCAGTTGTGAAAAGACTTTAATCTCATTTCTTCACTGCACATTGCAGGATTTTTAGGATACAAAGTATCTGACATATCCACAACCTGCCTAGTTCTCAGAAGGTAATCTGCCTCCACATCGGGGTCATCCAGAGCAGAGGGCAGAGCTGAACTGCTGGAACTGTTCTCAATTCCATGCTGGCAGTTCTGGGCAGCAGGATCCGTATCATCTTCCAGCAAAGCAGATTCAGTAATAAATTTGCAATTTGGGGAAAGACGTTTGTGTCTCTCAACTGCAGAATGCCCAGGCTCCCATCCTTCAACAGCTGTATGGCAACTGAAGCACTTCACTTTGTCACCTTCTCCAGTGTACACAAAGCCAGCTCGTGCGAGTGCCGATGCCGAAACCGGACAGTCAAGTGGAAATTC